CATGATGTCGTTGACGTGGGTCTTCGTGGAGTAGCCAGGGTGGCGGATTGACTTTGTGGCCCTGATTTTCCTGCTTCTCTTGTCATTGAGCACTTGACTGCCTATGTGCACAGTGTACTCGCTGGGGAGACATAGAGGTATGTCAGAGCAAGGGGACAGAGACCCAGGCTGAGGGGGACAGAGACCCAGAGAGAGAGGGGGACAGAGACCTAGACTGAGAGGGACAGAGAGGGGGGCAGAGACCCAGAGAGAGCATGGGGGTCCCTGGAGGCACTCCCACACTCCCCTGACAGGCCGTCAGCCCAGGCGGCACTTACTCCAACTTGCAGTGGGCGGCAGTGAGCACCCACCGCTGGTTGAGCAGCACCCCTCCACAGTGCAGCTGACGGCCCCTCAACAGGGCCACCTGTGAGGGCTGGGAGCGGTCCGCGCATGGGGACCCCCCGATAATCTTCTCCCCTTCCCTGTCCTCCTGGTCTGGCTCGCCACCTGGAGAAGTGTGGGCAGCAGGAGTCAACAGAAGACTGATGCAGAAGCCCAGGGCTTCAGAACGCAGTGATGGACAGAGACGGACGGACGGACAGACACACGGAGAAGCGCAGAGGCAGACGCGGAGACTGGCGGAAAACAACAGGGTGCAAAGAGAGAGATTCAACTTTCCTCGAGGAAGAGGCAACCAAGAAGAGGATCTGAACGGCAGAGGAGCCAGGCAGAGAACGGGAGAGGTGGAGGTGGGGAGAGACGGAAGGGCACGTGGAGAAACCCCGGGAGCGTCTCTCGGGAGTGCACCACAGAAGGTGAGGGGACCTGAAAGAGCCAGAGACCCAGGGCGGCCGAAGGAAGCCGGAGGGAAGGAGGCAGGCGCCAAGCCCACTGCGCGAGGGAGCCGGTCAAGGACAGGGAGACTGTAGCTCAGAGCTTAGAGCAAGGGGTCCCTACAGAGAGTCGGGGGGACAGCGGGGGCTCGGGGCCCAGTCCAGCCCTCACCTTCCTGTCCAGCAGCTCTCAGGGCCAAAGACAGCAGCAGGATCAGCAGGGCTGGGAACAGGGACCTCTCCATGGTGGCTTCTCGGAGCGCCTCAGGGTCTCCTAGGACAGCGGGAAGGGCTTTTCTGCTAGGTGGTCTGGGAAGGGCAAAGCGTTCAGAAAGTAGAAATTGGGTCCCTTCCTCCCTCAGACCCACAAGTGCAGGCCCCCAGCCCCTCCTCCCTCAGACCCAGAATGCAGGCCCCCAGCCCCTCCTCCCTCAGACCCAGGAGTCCAGGCCCCCAGCCCCTCCGCCCTCAGACCCAGGAGTCCAGGCCCTCAGCACATCCCCCCCAGACCCAGGATCCCGAAGTTCAAATCCCCTCGCCCTGGCCTAAGAGTCCAAGCTTCCAGACTTCTCTCTGAGACTCGGGAATCCAAACCCCACCTCTCCCAGGGCCCAGTAGTCCAACCCTCCAGACCCCTTCTCCCCTAGAGACCCAGGAACCCAACCTTCTTCTCCCTCGTGGACCCAGAAGTCCCTCCCACCCCAACTGCCCCCCCCCAAAAAAAAAAGCAACCCAAAATCAAACACTTGGCCATGGATTCCCACTCATCGAGCCCCTACAGGACAGAGTGGAACTGCCCCGTGGGGTTTCCAAGGCTGGGAAACTGAATGGGGCATCTTCCTCTCCCAGAGCAACTGCGGGGTTGAAGCACTGACCTTTTGGTCACTTAACCACTGCGCCACCAGAGCTCCTTCACTCTCCCCAAGGGACCCCCAAATTCCAGACTCCCAGCCCCTTACTTCTCAGGACCAGGCCTCCAAACCCCTCAGCACCCCCGCCCCTAGGAACCACTTTGGTGCCCGCAGTCTCCCTGCCACGCACAGCCTAGAGGAGCCCTCTCACCTCGGGAGGGTCTGATCTGGGCTCCGGACTGGGTCGGGAGCCGAGCGTCGCTGGCCCTCGCAGGGCGGCTGTCTTATACCTCGGCCGCCTCCGCGTCCCCGCCCGCCCCCAGCGCCCTGCGGTGCAGGCGGGGCCGGCTCTGGGACGCCCCCTTCCCGCGTTGGTGCTTATCGCGAACCCCTGGGGCGGCCAAGCCATTGGCCCTACTCTCCGCTCTCCACCCTCTGGCTCCCCAGTCCCGGGCGGGGCGGCGGACGCCGCTGGCCGCCCCCACACATTCTGGTCCCACTGTCCCTTGTGAATGCGCTCAGGGTGGGGGGCGGGGAGGACCAGGCTCCCCAGCTGCGAGGGCTGGGGTCAGAATTCAAGGAGGGTGGTCTCAGGAAGCTGACTCTAGCGTGGGACCTTTTCTGAGGCCATTGTCTTCCCTCCTATTTGGGGGTGTCGCAGACCCCCTTTCCAGGTCTGACCAACGTGTGGAAACTTGTCAGGCCCATCCCTGGCTGCCTCGGAACTTGAACCCCATTCCGAATCCGGGTGTGTTGTTGGTGGTGGATGAATAGCGACCCCACGTGACCGAGTAGAGCTGCCCCCCCAGGGTTTTCTTGGCTTTAGTCTTCACAGGAGCAGAGCCCCAGGTCTTTCTCCCAAGAAGCCACTTGGGGAAAGATTGCCAAGTCTTCCTCTCCCACGGAAAGGCTTGAACCTGCAGCCTTCCCATCCGCAGCTCAGTGCTTAACCTCTGCACCACCAGGGCATAGACTCCTCATAAGCTCCAAACTCACTGCCCTCGAGTTGATTCCGACTCATGGCGACCCCCTCTGGGTTTCCAAGGCTGTAAAGCTTTATCTGCCTTCATCTTTCTTCCACAGAGCAGCTGGTGGGTTTGAACCACTGACATTTTGGTTAGCAGCCAATGCCTTAACCATTCCGCCACCAGAGCTCCTTGTTGTTGTTGTTGTTGTTTGCCGTCAAGT